TGCAAAGGTCAGGCCAGCAAAGGGCCATGTAATCCCCAAAACGCACATCAATCACGCGAGTTTAGCTTATTAGCCAAGCACTGGAAATAGGGAGAAACAGTGAATTTTTAAGCCACTGCAAACTGAAATTTTCCACTTCAGACCATTTCTGACATTGACATTGACCACATCGACGTCAACGTCAAAATATTTTTGGTAAGCCAGCGGACCAGCTCGCTTTGTTTTTCGACAAATGACCATTGAAGGTCATAGCCAGATCCAAAAGCGGGCAACAACAAATTGGTTAAATAATACCCATATGCTCTTCCATCTCGTTTTGGCCTGTTTTTGGTTTTTCGATTTTTTCTGGTAGCCTGACGTCCGAGCGATCGGTCCAAAATCCCCTGAAGATCATTATAATTTCAATGGCACTTCACATGGAGTGTGTATATGCATATATATACGTTTGTACCTATGTTTGGTTAGAAGAATGCAAGCAGCAGAGTCCACAAATACTACACATTTCCATTGCGTTCAACTCTTCGCTGGGCAATGACACTTGGAGTGGCCAACTCACGTGCAGCTTTTGAGCCAAAAAGATGGGGGAACGCGTTCACTGGAGGGCAGCGTTTGAGTTAGGTAAGCTTAGTGCTAAACAGCTGTGACAGCTTCAGAAGAAATCCCACAGAAGCACTCGCATACCGTTCTTACATAACTGAAAACAAAAACCTTTAAGTACTACATTTGGGATTTTGAGTGTGGGCAGCAGAAGTTTTGTAATTTCTAAAGAGGTTAGCATTCAAATATATAATTTAAAATGAAAATTATGATTAATGGACATTCTAAATAATACATAAAAAATTAAACAGAATTATTTGTAATACATCCAACAATGCCTTAAGTTACCTTCAAAGTGCAACTAGTATCAAAAACCCATTGCAATTGGTCAGTGCCACCGCACAAATCCGTGGAATCAGATGTGTCAGGATTGGGGATTGAACAAATTAAATTCCATTGGCTTTCAAGACTGCAAATACCGAGCAGCAGGCTACTTTGTGTCACTTTTGGCAAGCGGCTAGAGAAAAAGAAAGTCCGGGCTCAGAAGAGCACTCACAACTCGCAGCACAAAATGCGATTCCCAGTGGTGAGCTTCGATTCGGCATCAGCAAATTGGCTCAATTTTTGTGGCAAGGCCTTTGGTTTCTTATTTTTTTTTCATTTTGGTGGCTGCTGATTTGCTTGTCGGAAAATATCAACGCATTGTCAGCGAGCCGAACTTGACAACTGGCAACATGCAACTTGCAACACTGCCACACTGCAACTTGCAACTGGCAACATTGCAGCACTGCCACATTGCAATTGTAACGCGATCAGCATGAGTAGCTGGCAGCCAGTGACAGCGGCTTAATTGCTGTCTGCAATTATGATAGCTGCCGGTGAAATTGTAGAAGTCCCCCCAGCCTCACTTTCCAGCTTCTCAGCTTCTCCCACAGCATTTTACGATGCTTTTTTCTATCTATCTATTTTTTAGTGATTTCTGACTCCATTTGGCATCATCGGGCCTGTGGGATTTTCATTGTTTTTGCCAGATCAACTCCTGGTTGACAAAAATAGTAACGTGCAGGCAGGCGCTGCCTTTTATTGCCATTTGTTTTGGCCCGTTCGCCGTTTGACGTTGACAAAAAAACGTCATTTGCAAATTGGGCAAAGACAACTTTCTCTAGGCAGCTGCGCCGCCGCATTTGCAGACTTCCAGTCGCAGTCTCAGTCGCATTTTCATTCGCCAAGTGACAGAGCCCCATTGCATAAAGCCATATAGATAAACCGAAGGCAAGTCGTCGCCCACATTCATTAACAGCATTCGCATAATTGGCCAAAGCAGATACTTTTTGCGGGTTCATCGAACCAGTCAGAAAGAAAAACAAAAGCCAAATACTATGGCCAAAAAACAATCCCTGGGCGCAGCAGCGGCAGCCTTACGTCTCAATTTCCCATCGCCACTCTGTCAATATCTATAATTAAAATCATTTGAGAACACACGCAAACTGTGCGCCCGACTTATCAGATTTTCGAATGGCAGAAAGGCATATTTATACACGTTGTCATGCTGAAAGCCTGATTGATGCATTAAGCTTACTTAGCCACAGTCGATGTTGACGAGCGCCAATTAATGGCTGCTTAAACGGGAAAACTCAGCCGGCCAGCTTGGCCATGTAAAATTATGGAAAATCTGCGCAAAAGCCGGCGCTAATTGAGGCAGGAAGCGCGTCGGGAAAACGAGTTGCCATCGCCTGTCATGGATTCGCCTCGCTTCGGTTCGTTTCGGTGCGTCTTAAATGGGTCAGGCGGTGATTACCGCCTCCACTAACGCATTTCATAACTACACTTGGGAAACAGATGTATCTATTAATGTACTCAAACAGTAGATGCTTACAACTCAGATAAATCTTTGATTTATTTGCTAGGCAATTGGGTAATTATTTCATAAATTGTTTTTTGGAATACTGATTGTTTAAGAATTTTAATTTCCCACAATGGGTTGTTGAAAAATAATGCTAAAAAATATTTGAAAAGGTATTTAAGAATTCTTTACTAATAAAATACTACAGCCTGATTTCTCGTCCTCATGTAAAATTGAATGACGGATTAAGTACCTAAGGGAAGTTTCTTTTAGATCAACGTATAGACGAGAAAACGGTCCTATTAAGTTGGGATTTTTACCGTTTCTGTTTATATCGAACTTCAGTCACATATATTTAACAAAAATTAGAACATTTGGAATATGCATTTTTAAGTTTCGGGTTCTTTAAATATTTGATCTCTTCCATTCTGCATTTTTTTAATATTTTCTGATATGTCATGTTGTATGTTTGTTACTCCCTATTTACCCTTTTCTAGTCTGCATATTTTCCCTAAGTGTAGTCAAATTAAGCCTGGGGCCACGCCAACAACAAGCGTCTTAGCCGTCTTAGCGTGTAACGGCAATTTCCAGCCAAAACGCTGCACTATTTGTCATAATAAATGTGCACAAAGGAGACGTTGCCCCCAACTCTTACCTATTTTTGCCCCTTTGGCTCGAAAGAAAGCTTTTGGCCTGCGTGGGCAGCGCTGTGACACATTTTGTCATCATTAGGCACAGTTGCCGGCTAATAATTTCAATTTAGCCAAAAAATTAGCTGCATTTGGTTGGGTGAGACGGGGGGAAAGTGTGTAAAAAGGCGTTAATAACCGCGGTGTAAGGCCATAAGCCGACAGCCCACGCCACTCAGAGAAAAACTAAGCCAAACTAGGTTTTTCGGCCAGAGTGCTCCAAAGAAAGGGGCGATGGGGGCGTGGCCGGGCACTCGATGGGTGTTAAGGTGATGACACTGATTATAAAATGCAGCATATGGCGAATGGCGTGCTGCATTTACTGCCATAAAGCCATCCCAGTTGATCAGCGGCGATAAAAGCCGCCTTGCTCTGATTTGGTGCGGTAAAAAACGCAGTTAAATCGCTGGCGTTTTGTGCGCGATTTGTGGGTGCTTCGTTTGGCAGAAATGGCGCAAAAGGCACTTTAGTCGCGAAGTTTATACATTTTCCAGAGCCTAGCACTTGCAGTGGATAAATTTTATTTCGTGTGCATTTAGAGAGAACCCTAATGGCAAAATAAATGTCACATAAACTAGAGGTAACGTCTTGCTCTGAATATTGCACTATTAAAAACACCATAAAGTTGGAGTCGATTTGTGAGAACATCAGTTGATTGAGATAAAGAAAGCCTATTAATCTTGGGTGGTAAAAATCTTAACAGGAAAAAATGCATTAAGAGAAGTTATTCTCCAGCTTATAAATTATTATCTTTATCAGCTTGAAATAAATGTTTAGTAAACAGGTCAACTTATTTTTATTGATTTTTCTTCAGTACCAAATATGGTTTTCATATTTCTTCCTGGTCAATCTACAACTTAATTGAAATAATCCCATTTTGACCAAAAGAATGGATTATAAACGAAACGCTCAAGAAAAGTGCGTGCGTTTATGTTTCCGCCATGAGCGGCTAATAAACATAATAATAACAACAAAATCGGCTATGAGGAAAATTCATGCGAAACAGTTATAAAAAAAAGACAAAACGGGGGAATGGAAAAGGCGATGAGGAAAAAATAAAAGAAAACTAAAGCCCCGGCCGTTGACGTTGCCGTCATCGTTGATGTGTATGTGTAATATTGCGCTTTCCGGTACAGAAACATAAAATTTTATGTACACGACCGCCGACGACAGGCCAAACGACATCTAAAGCCAAAGCCAGAGCGGAAAGTCGGGCGTGCAACGCGGCGTATGCGTTACATATTACGGCAGTATGTGAGTTTGCCTTAACACATTTTTCTGTCACGCAAAATAATCATTTGCAAAATCACGCCGTGTTGACAGCAGGCGAGGGGTCGGGGTTCGGGGGGCTGAATGAAAGACTGGCTCTAGGCAATTGTGTGATTACATGGAGAAAAAATACCAAGAATCCATAGGAAATTGAAGATTTCATAAGAATTGCAACATTAAAAAAAATATTTAAAAATAAGTCTCATGTTCTGAAATACTTGGTAATAATTTCAACAAATTTGAAACAAGAAGTTCTACACGATTAAGAAAAAGTATTCAAAGTATTAATATTCAAAATATTTCGATGTAAGCTCTATTTTCTAAATCATTTGGCAACAGATTATCTCAAAATTCATATAAGTCTTTGGTTTTTAGAATTTTTTTTTCTGTTCTTCTGCAAAAACCTTATAAGCTATGTTTTTCCCAGTGCCTTTCTGTGTGCGTTTTCTTGATGGGGACAGAAATTGTCGGTTATTATCATGTGAAAATGCCTGAAATTGAATAATGTCATTCGGCAGACAAGAGGCAAGTGGAGCGGCCAGTCCCCTCACTCCACCACCCTAAAAAGTGTCGCCTATCTAATGCGAAAATTGCGCAACCTGGGAACGAAGGAAGCTCTGCATTTCCCAGAGCAGCACTGGCTGACTAACAAAAACACTCACCTTGACACGCTCCAAGTAATCCTGCAGAGCTCCGTACGGATCCTCGCCATCGACGTCCAGCAAATCGAGGCTGTGGGCCAGGTCCAGACTGTCCAGTGCGGCCAATTTGGACTCGGCCTTATCGGCAAATTGCAGCTTATGATGATGATGCCCCTGAACGGGCGTCGCCTGGCTCAAGAATTTCTTATCAGCTGTCATGCTGCTGCTGGCAGGAGTTGCTCCTGTTGTTGCTCCCGTTGCCGATGTTGCTCCTGTCGCCGCGGCGGCAGCAACATTGCTTCCGTATTGGCGAGTTCGCGGCATGGTTGCACAACCGGTGCTAAAAACGCTCGGAGCTGAAACGGCAGATGTGGTTTCAGATGAAGTTGGCCGAGAAAGGCCATCAACGTCTCCGCTGGCCGGCACATCACTTAATCCCGATTTGTGGCGCGTCGTGTCAGCGGCGATAGCTGAAGTGCTGCCAGTGCTGCCAGCGCTGCCAGCGCTGCCTGTGCTGCCTGTGCTGCCTGTGCTGCCAGTGCTGCCTGCGTTGCCGTTGCTAATTGCACTTTTCACATCCTCGCCCGTCATGTTGTTTTGATTTGTATTGCTATTGCACTGCATTTTAGTTAACTTCTTGACTTTGTCATGTTGCCGCGTCGCCGGTTGCTGTGGCTCTGTAAGTGAAAAAAAAAGATTATAAGCTTGGTTAATCTCGGCAATATTTCTGCACATACAGCTGTCATTGTGCGGCCGGCGCACCCTGAACACAATTTTCCAAACCCCTCTGTGCAGACCCATATGGCCTAAGCCGAATACGCGAAAATTTCTGCGCTAATCGCCGCGAATTGTCCACCAAATGTGTGCCATTTAAATTGTCATAAATTTTGCAATGTGCCCCGCACATGTGTGTGGACTTAACTCCATTTTTATTTGGCATATGTGTTTGCCTGCGCGAATGTTTTAATTAATTTCGTACGGGCGCAAAAAAATTGCCGGCAATTATTTACATACTTGAATTTATTGCTCACACCACGCTCAACCATTTCCCGAGTGGTTTGCATTATTTATCTTCAGTGGGGTTCTATTATGGAGCTGGAGAGTCACGCCTTTAAATTTATGTAGCCGCTAAACTCGAAAATGGGTCATCGCAATCAGCTTGATATTTGTACATTATATGGACAGCAATGACTAATTTTGAGTTTATTTATTAACTTTCAAAGAAACAGAACACCTTAAGATCCTTTCCCTGGAATAGAAAATATATATTATCCAAACCCAAATCTTTTCCCAGTCATAGAGCGCTTCCTAAGCTCTCTAGCCCACATAAATGTTAATAAATTCCCAGCGAATCGAATTGAAATTCGCATAGGGGCTAAGGTTATGTGAACTTTTGTCAAACGGAAGAACCCCGCCAAACCGGCCGGCATCCGTCTATATCTATTTGTATATTTATTTTTTCTGTCTTTTATGGGTAAGTGAAACGGTTAAAGAGCGCTTGTGCCTGTTGCTGTTGTTGATTTTATGGGTTTGATTTGATTTTTGTTTTTATTGCGCATGCGTGCGTTCGATTGAGTTTTTTGATTAAAATGTCGCCGCCACCGTCGCCGCGACTTGGCGACAGCCGTACAGCAGTACCAAAAATAACAGAAATAAAAAAAATAAAGCCAACAGGGGTCTCTGGGCCTCTGTGACTGACTCCACTTCTGCTGGTCAAAAAGAGCCTGGCATTTAAGAATTCTGAATCGCATGCGTTACACAACGGCCCGTGGCGAGCTCGTAAATCAGCGGCTGCAAACGAGAGTCAGTCAGCGGACAGGGACAGTTGGCCACATTTTATGGGGGTCTCTCTGCCAATTGATCGTTTTGGGCCGATTGGCAGGCCGCCAGTTCAGGCCGATACGAGGTTCAGCGAAAAACCAGGCCCACACTCGGCTGCACGCTAACGGTACTCCCGGCCCATAAGGACGGCTCTTTACCGCCGTGTGGGTGACGAGTTCATGGGAGGTCTTCCCCAATTTCGATAGCAATTGCCGTTCACAAAGACATTTTGGAGACACCATTTTAACTAAATATATCAAAGTACTTGAAAAAAAAATATTTATAAATATCTCAACGTTTTCCTATAAATTAGGCTTAAATTCTTCTGATTTCTTATATTTATTTGTATATGTTTGTTATCATATGTTATCTCTTCTGAAAAAGAAGTTTCAAAATTGTAAAAATGTTTAAAATATTTTAACCATCCCTATTTAAATTGTGATCAAATTCTTAGGGAAAAAATAAGCCATTGGAAAATAAAATGTATAGATCACTAACATATATAGTTATTGTCTAAAACTCTAATCAGGTTCCTTACCATAAAGAATAGATTATATCTAACTACCCAAACGAAATAAGCGTGTGTATTTAAGTCTTGTATAACATCATTTCCCGTTCACCTAGAAGTTATTCTTAACAAAGCTTTCATTTGTCTTTCTAATTAGCAGTTTAAAAAGAGGATATTGACAATGTACATTGTACATATGCCGGCCAGAAATAAAATTCGCAACCATTGTTCTATTTGATGACTGGTAATAAATTCCTTTTTTTTTTGGGAACTCGGAACCGTGTACTCGTTCGCTTTTTGTGGCTCTGCAAACACGGACAAAGAGCTCGAAAACAAAACATTTGTACGCATTTAGCTTATTTGCTTATTTACCTATTTACTTGAAATAAAATTGTTTGCCGGGGTGTGTCCGCTAAATGGCCACCGTCCATTCATTGATGGGCGTGTGTGTGGATTTTTATTTCATTTTGCGGCTGCTGATTGATTCGCTGGCTGAGGTCACTTCAACGTGATTAATTGCCGATGGTTGATTGTCGATGTCGATTGTCGATTGCCCAAAGGGGGAGCGGTTTTTGCGGAGGTGTCACTCGGTGCCTAATTGAAAACAATGCAAAAGTACAAGCCAGATGCTTGTGAAACACACTCGTGGACAGTCCACTGGACTGGTCAATATTTGCCTGCAGTGTGTGCAGTTTGAGCAGCTGTTTTCCCCTCGACAGGGACCTACCTCAATGCATCTCGACTGGCCGACTGGCGCAGAATGAGTAAATAAATAAAATGAAATAAGCACAGCAGAAGCTGTCAGCCCGGCAAAAATGCACCAGCGAGCACTCGGACACTTGGACACGCGATTAGCGGGCGATGAGCAAGAAGCGACTACAGCTCCAAACCCAAACCCCACCTCACCAGAACCGAGAATCCACAATCCAGAGTCCAGAATACAGAATCCAGATGCGAACGACTCTGAACTGACGTGTGTCGGGTTGGGACAACGTCTTCGTCATGCCGATCAGCACAGATCACAGGCGCCCTCAGACGCCGCCGGTCTGCGGATTATTCTCTAGATCCATTGGATCTATACCCTTTCTCAAGGGTTTTCACCATTAGAAAATCTCAAGAAAGATATTTTATCTTGGGGCATATTTATGAGATATACCTACTTTAAGCACATGTTTTATTAAATATTTTTGTAGAATCACAAAAATATCTCTAAACAGATATATTTCGTTATATTTTGATATAAGAATAGGATATTTAAAGTATTTTATTATTACATCATTAGTTTTAAAATGACCAAACTTTATTTTGGGATATCATATAAAACACTGTATTATCTGGAACTGTTTACCCTGATTTTATGATATCTTAGGATCATCCATAAAGGGTATTACAATTTTCGGTATCCCACTTTAAAAATCGACTAAGGGCAGGGCTTGGAGTTGGGAGCCTGGGGCCCGGGTCTTTGGGAACGACTGGCTCTGGCGGCTTTCAAGCCTCATTTGCCTATCAAAATGATATAATACGCACTCATGACGTCGATTGCCGTATGTACGTGTTTCCTGTTGCGCCTTTTGTCGCTGTCGTTGCTTTTTATACCTTTTTATATTTTATTTAGACTTTTCGTGTGCAAAACTGCAGGCGATGGGGCGTGGCCAAAATCAAATGGAGTGCACTTTACGGCTGGTGACAAAAAGCTGACCGGGGAGTGTTTTCTTTCTGCGTTTTTTTTGGGCCGCCTGCAAGTGCGTTTTCGAGCTGCACCCAAACGGCAATCGTTCGACTTTTACGACTTTCCCAATTGCCTGTCCTATGCAGACGCATTTATAATAAAAGTTTTTGTGCATTATTAATACCCGCAATCACAGTGATGGTAGACAGTCTGTAATGCCGCCTTAAGTGGCTTTTTATTAAACATTGCGGCATTTAATTGATTTGTAATAGATTCCACTTCGACTCTTTATATTAAATGCCAAAGGTGTGTGCCCATGCGAGTGTGTCATGTTAACGGAAATCCAAAGGCTCCATGTCATGCATAATTCATGCAGTTTTTACAGTCGGAACAATATAAAGAAAAAGTATCGAAAAAAGTTATGCACACGCCCTAAGCAGCTGCTTTGAGTTTCTATAAATTTCCCTTACATGTCAATATTTTTTGTATTTTTTGTGCTGTTTAGCAGGTATTTTAATAATGCATTTAATTGCCTTTAATTGGTTTTACTGAATTTTGCCAGTAATTGGAAGTGATTCAGATGCTTAAGATTCATTCTGTGGAATGTAATTCAGTTTTCTGGCATTTATTTCTTATCGCTGGCATCGACAAACACGTATGTATATCTCGTGAGCATTCAAAAACAGGAAATGACAAGGATCTGAGCTGGCTCTCGGTTCTTGTTGACCTTCGTTGGCTTTGCTGCCCCGAAGGGATCAATAAAGCACTTAAAATACTTGTAAAGAAATAAAATAAATCTCTGCTACCCAGAAATTACTTTTTATTTAGGAAATATTTAAGAACTGGTCTGGTATTAACATAACTTTATAGAACAGAACCTAAGTGCTCCGCTATATATATTTTTATGTAAGTAGTCAATAACTGTAAACTTAATATGCTCCATATATTTTATAGCCCCTTTAGCTCATTTTATGATCTCACATTTTCTACTTCCCCCTGAAGAACCCTGCTACGGATCAATTAATAACAATAACTGCGGCTATTAACTAGTTTAATGAGTGTGAGCCTAGCCCCGTCCGATATTTCCCACAATGCCTAGATGTGTGTATGTGCAACATTTCCGCCCCGGCGACATTGCAACTTGGTTGCCAAAGCTGATTAAGCGGGCGTACTGAACTGAACTGAACTGAAGAAACTTACCATTTCCTGCCGCAAAGGCGGCGATGCGCTCCCTAACCGAACGTCTGGGCTCGTCATGGGCTCCGATGTTGCTGATGTTGCTGCTGTTGCCGTTGCTGTTGCAGCTGTTTGGCAGCAACACATGTGCTGCCGCTGTTGCCGTTGAGTCATGGCTAGGACTCCGCTTCACCATTGTTGTTTTGATCACAGTCTTAAGGCGGCTGGGCGTGGTCGGACGGGCTGCAATGCGGGGCTTAGGTGTTGCTGGTGTGTCTGGTGTTGCTGCTGTCGCTGTTGCCGCCGTTGCCGTTGCTGTATCTGTTTCTGTTGCTGTTGCTGTCGTAATTGTCATTTTATTCTGCGACGACTTCGGTGAATCAATTTTCGAGTCGCTGTTGCTATTCGTTTGGGGCACGGCGGTGTCGGGTAATTTACAATAATTACAGTGCGGCTTGTTGTTGTTGTCGTAGCTTAGTGTATTTTCCTTATTGCTATGTTGCTGTTGCTGTTGCTGTTGCAATTGTTGGTGTTGCTGTTGCTGTTGCAAGCTATTGCTTAGTCTTTGGGTTGGTTGTCGTTGCTGCTGCTGCTGCTGCTGCTGGTGTTGCTGTTGCTCATTGCCACTTGGCGGGCTCTTTGTGACAGCGCAAGTTTTAGTTGCTGCACCCAAAAAAAATATTGAAAGTTGAAGTTTAATAAGTGGTGTATTAAAAATATACTAACTTAAAACAATATTGATAAGAAAGAAATTAAAAAATTATTTCAAATGTATTTTTAAAATACCATAACTAACCTGCTGCTGTTGCTGTTGCTGCTGTTGCTGTTGCTGCTGTTGCTGCTGCTGCTGTTGCTACTTTGTTGCTGCTGCTGTTGCCTTTGTTGTCCTGCCGCCATTGTTTGGCCAGATTTCGTTGATTCATTAATATCAGCGCCACATTTCCGTCGTCTCTCGGAGCAGCGGCGGTATCATTGGCATCATCGGCTTCTGCTTTATCGCCGCCACAGTCGTAGTCGCAATCGTCGTAATCGTTGTGGCAATCTTGGCGTCGCCGCGGCACATCATCAATATAGCTGAAATCGCTATCGACCAATATATTTCTGGCATGCAGCGTGTTGACCGTCGACTTGTTGCTGCTGTTGTTGCTGTTGCTCTTGGCCTGCTTGAGATTGTAGCGCCTTCGCTGCGGGCAGCAGCAGAACTTCACGATGGATCGATGGAGTGCTGGCGGCGATGTTGGCGATAAGGTCGGCCGATTCGGCGTCGCCGGCGTAGCAATGTCAGCCCATTTCTCGATCAATGCCAGCTCGCGAGCATTGGACATTGTCGTATAGCCATGCAGGGTGATTCTGGAAGGGAGTAAGGGAAAAGTTAAGATTAGTTAAAATTGATCATAGTAATATCTTACTATTAATAGGAGTAGGAAGTTATAAATGTATTGCCTAGAAAATCTATTGGAATCAGCACTTACAGAATCCAATCAAGTTTTGTTTTTGCAATTTTAAGATCATCAGATCATATAAAAATATAATAAAGGGTTTACGATTTTTGACTTTTAAAACCATTTTATCCCATGTATTCTTCTGTGTGTAGCCTATACATAATATGTATTTTCTGATCAATTGGCAAACCTTCTTTAGAACTTCCCTTATCACTCTGTAAAACCTGATATACATGGATAAATGAAACCTTCAATAAAAACAACTGCTTTTCAGTGAGACACCTGAACTCGAACAATGAACGCTGCGATTCTGCAAGTGAATCGAAAAGGAAACCATAAATTAATTACACACAAAAGCAAAAATCAATTAACCACATTTCTCAACGCGTCTCGGCTTTTCACCAAAACGTTTCCTCATTCCTGCCGCGGAATGGAGTGGATTGTAGCTGGAGCTCCGTTGAAAGCCGATTCGCTGCGCACATCAAAGTGTGGACTGGGACTCTTGGCCAGCGGACTCGACGCCATCTGTGCGTCATGGCAGCAGGAGCCACATCCACATCCACATCCACATCCATATCCATATACCCGGCTAACAGCAAAAGCAAAGCCAAAGCCACAACGTGTTTTAATTGCCAGCCGCTTTTTGCGCAACACTTTCCACGGGCACCACTTCTAAGTGACCGCCAAAATGTTGAGCTGCTGTTTTGCCGGCAGAAAGCCGGCTGTCGATGCATGATTAACTGCCCGTGCAACCTGCGAGCTGCAAACTGCAAACTGCATTTAATTGCATTCGCCGCATTCGCGATATTTGGCCGCAGGGCAGCTCGACAGCAGGTAGCCGAAATCTTGCAGATCTCACAGATCCCAGGGTTCCCGAATGCCGTTTGCCGCCCACCGAAGTGCAGCTAGCCACTCGCTGATTAATTTGTTGTGGCAGCCAGCACACAGGAAAAAATGATCTCAAAAAGTATCTGAATACTTATAGATACTATATTATGTTCTAAGGACACATGAGAAAGATACTAAGTAAAATGTTTTTAAGGAAAGAGCAGGAAACCCTATATTGAATTTATTCTTTGGAATACTAAAATAGATATGGATAAAAAAGAATTTTTATAAACATAACCAATTATATTTTTCGAATATTCTATAATTTTCTGAAGCATTTTAAGCCCCATAAGTTTTAGAAATTAATTTTAGAATCATACAGAATTACTAATGCAGTTAAAACTCTTTTGAAAGCTGTAATATAACGAATAGATGCATTTTCCCCTAAGCTATTTTTAATAATTCTTAGAGCCACTGAAGGATAACGAATTTTTTAAGAATATAATAAATTTATTTTTTTTTTCCGTGAGCCTTGCGGAAAAGGCATTTGCATTTGCGCCGGTTGCGAACCCGACTAACTGCTACCTTATTGGCCGGCGGTGTTGACCTTTTGCTTTGGCCCCGGCTAAAAGCTTTTCGCCGTGAAAGTTTGCCTCGGAAATTCCTTTCCTTTCACCACATTGCCGCAAAAGCATCGCCTCTTTGAAGGGGGCGTGGCCGGGCCTGTCAAGCGATTGACAAATTAATTTCAATTGTCTAATGCACACACATGCCGCTTATCTTTCACTTTATCTATTGTTGCGGCCGAGTGAAAATAAATTAACAATAAATAATTTTAATTATTTCATGAAGATGTCAAATTACACACGCCCTCGCCAAAAAGCCAGGCTCTCCAGTTCGTTTTTTCTATATTTTTTTTTCATTTTTAAGCCTGGGACCGCAGCTTCGACTTGATCTTTGCCACTTACGGACGGCTTTTGTGGCGGCTTGTGGCACAGCTGCGCGCTCTTTGTATTTATGATTATTTTCCATTTTATTTTATTTATTAAATCTGTGTGTTTGCCAAAGCCCCGGGCCGCGGGCACTTTTCGGGCAGCTCTAATAGGATTTGTTGCCAAATCGTAGGAGCTGACGTCAGACGTCAGACAATTAAGCCCCCAAAAAGGCCAGGCCCCTTGTTAAATTTCTCCCCCCATTCAGCCCTATTTTTTGTAAGTCAAAGGAAGGTAAGATAATTTATTAAATATTAATAACTTCTCCATTTTAGATTTTCTTATCTAAATATCTAATTTATTTCCAAAAACACCTATACTTTTTTCCAGGTTCATTAATTTAATGGAAAGTACAAAAGAAGAAGCTGCCAGCAGCTGAGCTACCAACGATTTGTCATATATTTCTGGGCCATTAAACCAGTGGGATGTGTTGCATTGGGAGTATGTTATACCGCCTGAAGATCAGGTGTACTATAGGTTGGCTAATAAATACCCTATACCTTATCCCAAAGATACCCAAAGTAAGGAAACTACGTTGTGACATTCGGATTAGACAGATAGCCCATTGATCCCCATTTTTGGAGCTCCCTTATCTCCCAGCTAATATACCCCAGCTGCAGTAATCCGCGGCTTGTGTATATAAAAAACGATCGTAAAACCACGAACGACATCGGAAAACATAAATTTAAAATATGCCACAGCGATGACTCTGGCTGCTGCCCCCTTTTTTCCCATCTGCGTAATAAATCCGAGTGCCGTATGGATATAAACCATGCTTTATTTGTGTTATTGTGATTTATGGGCCTGCACATGCCGTGCTCTTTTGGAGTATGAAATTAATATTGAAAAGCTACTAAATCCAGACTTACGCATAAATTAAAAGTTAAGTAGGTAGGCTGCTCCGCCCGACTTTTTTTGTAATCCACAACAAAGAATGAAAAAACAGCTCACAATATCGAAACAAAACAGCCAACATTTCTCGGCTTCTGGGGCGATTTTCTCGCATGTTTAACTCGTGATTTATGGGCTTCAACAGCCAGCGAATAAACACAACATTTTTGCACATTTGCATTGCAATTTCAATGCATTTGACATCGTAAATATTTGCCAATGCATTAACTCTCCCCGCGAGATATACATATAAATAAAACCATATGCGCATGCGCGGCACGTAGTTGGTTCGATTGGCGATTTATTTATGAAGTCTAGACCCCTGATTTGGCGTACTTATAATTAGCATTCGTATACGGCCAAATCGAGCTATATATAGGTAGTGCCGCATAACGGTAGACCGAGTTCTATGAACTGGCTATATAGCCGCATATATATTGACCGCTGGCGACTGGCAGCTTAGCTAATTGAGGCCCGGCCGAGGCTTAATGTCAGCCAGTCCGTCACTTTAGCTGGGGCCACTGAGCCGGCTGGCAATCGATCAATCAGCCAATCAATAAGTCAATCATATGCACGGGCAATCGGCAGAGTGCATACAAATTGCCGCAATTGTCTCTGCCATGGCTGCTCATAAGTGCATTACCATCCCATCCAGGGATTGATAGAGTGGGAAAGTTTCGCTTTTCGTCGCCGATCGCTGTGAAATATTCGATGGATTTAAATACGCATTCGTTTTGATGCCCAGATCGGAGGAAAGTTTTAGGCCCAGGGCCAGGCAATCAAGGCGACATTAGCGCTCTGCCGATGGCTTTTCCAGCCGAAGATAGAGATGCACTGTGAGAAACAGCATATCTTATTGAAGGAGACATCTTAAAGATTTTAATATTCGAAATTAAATGAAAAAAATTTAGTTATCGAAGGAAAAAAACTAAAGACTGCGATTTTTCTTTCTTATATGAATGCGTAACTAACATTTCATTCAAGAAATAATATACGGAACAAAATAACATATACAAAAATATTTTAATAATATTAAAGGAGTAGTAAATAAATAATAATTGAAAACAATTAGCATACACATTAAAAATATTTTTAAAATGTTAAAAAAAATGTTAATATGATATGATAAAGCTTGAGATCCTTAGAAAATGATCTTGAAAAGGTGGTTTGATTTTGCTTAAAGGTTAGAAATAAGTAATATTAATAGTAATATTGCTTTTTTCACTGTGCATCCTATGCTAGACCTAAAGCCAAAGCTAGTGCCAACCGGTCAGCCCGATTGCCTCGTACGATGTCTATTAATGTTGCCCATTAACCTTTTAACCCTTGATTGCCGGGCTGCAGTGCGTGGTAATGACTCTCTTTCTCCGCTTTGTCTCTCGGCCGTTTGCTCTCTTCACGCAAAAATGCGCAGAAGCTAAACGCTTTGTTTTTCGGCAGTTTTTTCTGCGGCTTTTTGCGGCTTACCACTTGGCCATTTATTATTGGCCAGAGTGCGCAGTGCGCACTGCTTCCAGCCGAATTTGTTGCCAATTTGTTGCGCCACGAAGTTTGTCGTCCAATTAATTTCCGCATTTCCCAGACAAACTTGGCAATTAATTTCAGCAGTTTGCATTTCTTCAACCTTGTTGGCCTGACCTTTTGGCTCAAGTGATTCACGCCAACGCCACACGTCAGCTTTTTGGCTCTGCCATCGGTTTCAGTTTTCAGTTTTGGTTTGGCGGTCTTGGCCTAACGAGAATGGCCCGGCATCCTTTTTTCCCGATTTTTTTATTTTATTTGTTTGATTCACTCTAAGTCGGCAATTAATCAAAGCGCCTTTGGCCACGACGGACAAATCCTTTTGTATGCACTCGCATTCGCTCGTATATGGCGTATATGGCTAACGACTGACAACGCAAATGGCTAAAATGACAGCGGGCCGTGGTCGCGTCATGAGTCAGCCGATGGGCAACGGTAACATGGCCAATGCGTTTGCATCTTGCCTCTTTTTGGGCGGCTTCTCCCACTCCACCCCTCCATGGGAGCCCATACCCCACTAACTTGGCTGACTGACAGACTCCGCTGACAGGCGATGCCAAAGGCCACGAAACGCAGACCGGAGTGAAGTGAAGGCTTTTTATTGAAATTAACTTGGTTGCCTATTTGTATATCCCGCTGAGTGCATAATAAGTTTGTCAAAAATTAAACAAACAAG